CAGGAATGCTGCCCTTCCACTAGACTTGTCCTTCATCCCTGAGGCCAGAAATTAAGCATGAGACTTGCAACAGTTCCACTTCCTTGCCTGGGGCATTTATTTGCACAGGAAATATCTTCAAAATCTCACCTATGTTAGTTTTAGGGCAAGTTAGCCAAAAGCCTCATATAGGCAAAGTTCAAGATCAAGCGTACCACTACAAAGGCACTAACTTGGAAGTTAAACAGGCAGCAGGCAAGCAAGTGAACAAGGAGGCAGGGGAGAGGGAAGAGATCCTGATAGCTGTTACTCAGTTTTTAGGCTCAGCCAAAAATCCCTTGATAACAAGGGAGAATGGAAAAATCAGCACCTAAAAAATAAAAAATTGGAGCACATTACCTAAAGGGAATACTCTAAATAGAGAGAATCCATTTTCCTTTTTAAGTGAGTCACTTTCAAGAATTTAAGGTTGGTAACATTCCTTTAAGATTATACAGAAAAGATAATAAAATACTATAATAAAAATAGCTACCCATTTTATAGAAAGCATCATCAGTAAATGCTGACTAAACTCTTCATAAATCCATTTTACCTGAATTCCCTTTAGAGAGGAAGCACCCATGTAAAGAAATACTCCATAAAGTACTGGCATAGGAATAAACTGCACAACAAGCAGAGAAAGGGAAGAGCATATTAAATACCATTTAACAATTTCAAATGCTTCTACAAAGACATTCTAAACAGTTGAAATTCAAAGTGCCATATGCCTGCATTAATCAGACAAGTTGTAAATTCAGAGTCACTCAATTACAAATTAATAATGTTACTCAGAGTATAAAGCAAAAGAAGAATTTGGCTCTATAGTTTTATTTTCCTCTCATGGCCAGTTATTACAATATACTTTATTCACTATTAATAAAATTAACAGAACTATATGAAAAATGAAAGTGTTTGATACATACTTAAATTCTTTACTTAAAAGACTGCTCAGGAGAGCATCTGAATAGTAAAGCTATAATCCTCAGAAAAACGTTCCAAGACAGACACAAAATACTTCATACTGCTAAAAGAAATGTTCTGTGCTGTAAGCATTTAAAAATGGGTGAATGACCTTTATGGAAGGATTTTGTAAGAGTCTATTTTAAATGTTCAGGCTCTCAGTATACAGTGTGTAGGTAAAGGAATATTTCCATAGATAAGGGTCTGTTTTAAATACTAAATACACAAAACGCATGTTCTATGTGTTTTCAAAGTGAAGGTTTTATGATATACTTAATAAAATACTACTGGGAAGTACAAGTTCTGAAGGCTTATTGACTTCACTGGGACAACATGCAAGTCTAAATACTGGTCTTACTGAAGCCAGTAGCAAAACTCTCACTGATTTCACAGAGGCTAGATAATTCTCAAAAACAGTAAGTGTTATGTATATGGATGGTGTTATATATGCATATAACTAGACACCCAGTTTCAGGACACTGGTGAGCTGTGCTGAGTATGCAGGCAGCATTTCCAAGAAATGAACCACAGAACTTCTCTTGCAACTGTGAAAATATTTTTAAATTATCCAGAAATCACAAAATGTTTTTAAATTTTCTAAATAAATTTACTTACTGGTATAACTTAGCAAGACTATTTCATGATAATTTGCCATACGCCCAAAGTATAGACAAAGGGTGAATCTTCATATACTACAGGTCAGTGGCAAAATTCCCTTTGACTTCAGTCAGGCCAGATTTTCATCACAAGGTTTTTGTTTTAAAAATGTTAGATGTCCCTAGCCATTTTATTATGCAAAATTAGAATTCCACTTTAGATTATCATTGTGTAACATTATGCTAGTTAGTAATGTGCCTGGAAAGGGCACTCGTTAAGTAATACAGTAACAACAGTGAAATGTTCAGTGCAGTGCAGTATTTTTTAGCTTTTCCTTACTTCCCCAAATTACCTTCAGGATACTTGTCAAAAAGACAGATGAGCCCATAAGGATAAAAATCATGAGCCCTGTGACTCTTTGCTCCCGGATTCCAAGAAATTTTGGCTGCTCCCCTGGAGCGGAGCACTCTGATTCCAGTTTTAAGCTATTCACATGGGAAATAGAGAGGACAGTGGCTGCAACAAACCACGGCAATCCCATTATAGAGCACACTCCAAGCATGACTGCCACCATGAGTAGGTCGAGATGGTATCCACATCCTTTCTGTTAAAAAAAGTAATGACAGCAAGAAGATATAAAATGACATCTGAATTAAGGAGAACACTCCTGGCAGGCATTCCTAATGAGCAGTTAGAGACAATTAAAAAATTTGTGACTTGTAGGAAAAAATCGCTTTCTTCTATGTGTTATCCAGGTTGGGTCAGTAGCGATGGCAAACCGGTTATCTAAGGGGAATTCCTACTAGTTCACAAGAAATACTTAATGTTATTAGACTCATTCCAGTTATGAGTTAAGTGTACATATCATAAATCCAATTTACAATGGGCACCAAATACCTTTCCTGCTTATAAAAGAGATACTAGTAAGACAATGGAAAATACATACATTTTCTGTTTTAACTAAATCTCTTCTGTGGATAACAGTAAGCTGAACATCCAGCTGCACTGCCAACTTTTCCACTGCACTAATCTTAATAGACCTTCCATCCATCCTTACACAGGAGGCGGAAAGTATGTATTTTGATTCTTTCCTACACAAAAATTCTTAAGTTAACATTTGCAAAGTCAGTTTATGCTATAAAGGGCCATAAAACCACATCGATCCTTTGAAAGTTTTTATAAATGGTAAGCACGGGACAGTAGTAAGTTTTCACTAACATACTGTCATCTTATCTAAGAACAGATTAAGAGAAATTAAACTATCATTAAGCTATACATTAAACTATAAAATAATATTCATCATCGGGTACTGCTTTACTGGTTTCCCTATTCAATACTTAAAAGTAGTATCATAAACATTCATATGAGAAGTCAGTACAAAACCTTTGGGTTTGGATCATTTCTGTAATAGTCAAATACTCTGTAAATTTACCAACAGGAGGATGTTGCTTTGCTTTTGTAGTAGCGGATAAAACTCTTTGGTCAAATCTTAGATACATTTAAAAACCTGCAAATACAACCTGCACTTGAAAATGACCAATGATCTGCATCAAGCTTGGTTGTTTAGATATCTGTTTCCATAGCTGAGAGGGATATTTCTTTTCAATTTTAGTAAGTATCCAGGACCACTGCGCAGCTGCAAGCAGGAGCTCAAGCTATTTTCCTTTAAAAAGTCAGGTAGGTAGTTATCTCCACAAAATTTTGCAATATGGCAACAAATCCAATGTCATGGTCTGATAGAACAGTGATGTTCATGCAAACAATGTGAATATGTTGAACCATAATTTTGCCTGTAAACCCATGCAAATGCCTTTTGACATAAAAAAAGTAACTAAACTAAACTTGGAAGGGTTTGCTACAGAGACTGCCAAAAGCTGAAATGTGCACTATTCAGAATTTGCTATGGGAAGTATAAAAAAAGAGGGGAAAACGAGTTGGAAGCAAACAAATCATTTCTTTCTGAAGACAACTTTTACTTCTAAAATGGGAAGCGTCTGGGTTTATGAAAATGTAAGCCACATATCGAAATGAAAATGCCATCTTATTTGCTTACATTATTTAAAAAGGGGAATTCATATAAAGTAAAGAAAATGAAAAGAACCAACTCTAGCAACCTTCCCTCACTCCCCAAAAGTGCTTCTGAGTCTTATCTCCAAGACACATCTTGACAAACTCGGAGATGTGTCAAACTCAGATATTAGTTACATGCACAATGCACTCAAAGAAAGAGTTTAATTCTAAATCCTAACAGAGACACCTTTTTTTACCTTCTGACACATTTATGAGGAATGTATCTGCTAATGCATACAGAATCCGAGAGCATTTCCTCACATTCATACATGATCTGAGGAACCTGACATATGGGAAGAAAAGGAAGCATAGCAACAGGTGATGCTACACCAGACCCCAGCAAAACTAAAACGCAGCAAGACAAGGGGGCAGCCAGGAGGACCATCTGACTCCCAGATGCCAGTGCTGAAAAAACACATTCCAAAGCTTGGCAGCAAATTTCTGCATCTGTCAAGTTAACCACATGCAATGCTATGGATTGACATGAAGAGCCAGGCTGACAAAGAGGGCAAAAAAAGAACATATCAAATGTCACAATCATCCAAGAAGAGGCAGCGCAAAGTGAAGGTTGCAAATGCATTTGCTAAAGCAACTTGGGATTGGATTGCTGCTTATTAAAAGTATGTCAAAAAAAGCCTAAGCTTGCTGCATATACATGTACAGAAACCTGCTTCTAGATTTTGCCCAACAGTTTTTCAGAGGGGTGATGTCCCTTTTTCTCTCTCCATCTGTAGGCAACTAAAGTGTTAGAGAACAGAGCAGGAAGTTGTCCTATGTTGTTTTAAGAACCCATTGTGCCTCTAAAGCTCAGTTTTAAGATAGGAAGGGCATAAAAAAAAAAAGGATGGCTAGAACCACAGAGAAGGATGAAGAGAGGGGGAAAAAAAAAATCTTATATTACAAAATAAGCCCCAAATAGTTTTTCAAAATCCAATCCAGTAGAACAACACTGTCAATATCTGAAGAGGCAATTAATATTATGGTACTTAAGGAAATTATTAACTTCCAGATTTTTTTCTTTAGGTGAATGGGTATCATACTTCTAATAAAGCATAGAGGATAGCACTTTCTTGATTGAGAATCTCTGTTCCAAATCACATTCATAAAGGCTTCTGTAAGGGAGCGAATCACTGACACAGGGCACAGCTACTACACAGACCAACAGAGAAAAAGCATAACAATTTAAAGGGGTACTATGTAACATAAAATAAATTAACATACTCAAGTAGATGAAGGTACATTACATAACCTGAAGCAGAAAACGACAGTGAAAATATAACTATTTGACTGAATACCTTTAGCTTGTGTTCTTTTCTATTGATAATGACAGCTGTGATCTGCTGGTCCATAAAGATAAGGATAGTACAAAGCAGGGCTGGAATTACAGCAGCTATCACTGTCCACCAAGGATTAGGCCCCAAAGGAGTAATAAACCAGCCACGATCATCTCTGGTGGGCTATAAAAACAGACACATGCATGACCAGTCAGAACTCTAAGGATTACTTACATTTCAACTCCACAAGAATACATACAAAAACATTACTAGGATATGATTTCCTTTAAAATGAATCTATATAAGAGCACAGAAAAATGCTAAACTTCCTACGATATCAAAAAGAGAAGTTACATATAATAAAATCATCTGGGACATTACAGACTTGGTTGTATTTGATACAATGAGCCCAGAAATTGGAAGGAGCCCCAGAACATTACAGTAGTCTAGGATTTGGGTAATTTGAGCCAGGTTGGCCCTCACACAGAAGACACTAGGAAGCATGAAGGGGCCTGATGGGAGAGGCTCACTTACATGGGCCACTAATCAGAGAGGTTGCACAGTACTTGGTGAACATGAAAAATTCAGAATAGTATCGCTACTCCCTGATGATTAAAAAATAAATAAATAAATAAACCACTCTAGTACACTACTTTGTCAAAATAATAAGACAGTGCAATTTATCAACAAATTACCTTAAAAGCATTCGGAACCTGAAGTTTTGGTGATGGAATCCCAATGGCATAGTCAATTAAAACCATGGACAAAATAGTGAGAAAGACAGCAAAATCACTGACAACAGATCGTACCTACGATATTGAGAGAAACGACAATTTTAACTAAAACATCCATGTGTGATTTATGATTTTTCCTCACTGTTTCAAGCCATTTTGTGCTTACAGCTAAAACCATGCTTATTCTGGTATAATTTTCTAACAGAGAAAAGATGCAGTGTCCACTTCACCAGCAGTTAGCTGAATTTGCAATGCAGATGGAATTCATGCTTACATGTGACTAATGACAACTTTTGAATTAAAAAAATGGCACACACCTTTGTTGGGAAGTATCGGCTAGTTTTGAACTGCTTCAGTGTGGATGATAGCGTTACTGTAGAAAAGAATAAGATGACAGACCAGAAGAGGACATCAGGAACATAAGGGCCATGATGACCACAGGCTCGTCCAACAAACTCTCCATGAAACTTTTTACATTCCTATCAGGGAGAGCAAAGTAGTATTGTTCTGAGAAATATCCATGCTTATATTGATTTTTTTTTCCAATTACCTTCCTAAATTGCAAGCAGATTATATTACTAGGAATAGTAAAGTCATTTTTAGATATTTATTTTTTTAAAAATTAAAACTCCTAACGTTTGTATCTAGTCTGCATGGAAACACTCAAACCCTGAAAAGAATCTCTTTTTTAACCAGTATTAAATGATGACATCACTAAGACATACCATAAGTAAAGACATTAATATAAAACCAGATTTATTTCAAACTGAACAAGTACACTTACTTATTTTCTGTTTACAAACACAGATTTGCACTTCCTGATTCTTTCCAAGAGAGGAAAGCAAAGTTCAAAAGCTACCAAGAGAAAGGCTGCTCCTAGTGTATTCTCAAGAACTGATTTTTTGTTTTAACTTCACAGGCCAAGCAATTCAAGAAAAAGCTACTTAGAATGTACAGTATTAGCCTAAAAGGAGACCAATACATTTAATACCACATGGTGGCAGCACATTCCACAAATTATCTTTTTCTTTAAAAAGGCGAGCTGATAAAATCCAGTAAAACCCCAAATCTATAACATTAATTCTATCCAATATAATATATGATCAAATATGCAGATACAGTAGAAAACATATCTAGTAATTCTCCCATACCATCCTTAGTTATATAAAATCATACTTGTTCCAAGGTAACAAGTGGAGAAATAAAGAGTAGCTCTAAAAATGTGAGCTACAAGCTCCAGACTCGCAATCCTTTCCTTCTCCTTCCCAAATCCCTCCACACATATTAAGCAAAAAGAAACGCAGCATGCAGAATCAGAGATTCCAGGCAGCAATATCCTGCCAGATAAGGATCTTTTAGTATCAAATGAACTGGGTCATTGGCTCATCAGACTCACGCCACAATACTGTGGCCTGCCATGTTATGAGAAACTTTGGCTTTGAACAAAGGCTGGCTTGAAAAAAAACACAGTTGCTATTTGATGACTGTGAGACAAAGGAGTGCAAAACTTTTTATATTGGTATAGCAGTAAACCAGGAATAATTATGATGCACTTCTGACTGATGAAATAAAGATTTTAGATGGGGAAAAAAATTCTCAGGAAATCCCGAAGAAATTCACAAGATTCTGGGACATCAAACAGAAAACTTGTTCTGGCCTGAGCTAGACCTTGATGTTGGCACAGCACAGGGATGAATTTCATCATATACCTACTGAAAAGGATCTTGTCACCGTCAGAATAAACACTTTGCTCACACTCATTTTGTCCTAGATAGCAAAAAAAATTGTTGGTCCTACTGTTGTTTTTAAGAGAGAATGCCAATCTAGATCTTCAGAAACTTGAAATTTTTAAATCACACACAAGAAACAACAGTGTAAAAGACAGTGGGGTGAGACTGACCAAATATTTAGAGACAACTAGGTCTAATCTTCTACTGCAATTCTCTAGAACAGGAGAATTGAAGTTTCCCGATGATGCTTGCAAGAAATAAATACATGAAAGTAGGAAAAATTTCAGTTATTTCTTTGACAACTATAGGGACTCATGGGAAAAGTCGGTCACTTATACTGCTACCCATGTAAACTCAAGTTTCGGTAATAAGCTTTTACAGAAGTTTTAAAGGGTTTTATATAATGCAGCCGGTCTTTTACATTTATAGTTAAAACAAAATCTGTTATTTTAAATCTCCTCAGCTGCAAATGTACTCTGAAAAACACTGTCAGAGATCTGAGAAAGTGAGAGGAGTCGTCTGCCCCTGCACAGATGCTCTTAGAGTGTGCTGCAATTTTGAGAATATTCATTCTGGATTGCTGGAATCCCTCAGGCCAGCAGTTCTCAACTTTCTTTCTGCTGTTGCCACACCAACAGAGTTGAGGAGCAGTCCTTGCTATCAAGACAGAGCAGTCATGGAAGGCAGCTCTTGCTTAACTCATGATAGGAGGACACCACTTCTTCTGCGTTCCTGCCTTCGAAAGAAAAAATGATATCTGCTGGAGATGGTCCACTGGATTGGCTTTTAAGCTTTTCATTTGGTTATGCCTACGATGGGGTTAATTCAGTCGTATTTTTGAGAGGTGTCTTTTGCACTCAATTCTCTTTGACTGTGTAATGGAATGATCCATTTCTGAGAAAAAGTGGCGGCCTGATCTCAATACGACATTTTAATCAGGTTCTAAATGTTGCTTTAAAAAAGGCAAACCGGAAGTAATATATCCTTTAAACCTAGAAAACTGTACCGTTTAGAAACAAGTTACATATCCATGCAAGCTCCCCAAACTGTCTGTACCTTGCCCCCCACCCCCACTCTATCCCCCCCGAAAAAAAATTACACAACTAAGACATACATAACACTGAAGGCCTACGTAAGAGACAAATTTAGTCACTGAACAGAAAATGTTACAAAATTTCTCCCCTTCCTCTCCTTTATGGCCCGAACAGCTGTAAGAATGTTTTAGGGGAAATAAATGCTTTCTACACAAGGGAACTTTGGTTTTGCCATCTGGCAGAATTTAGGACAAATCCGTTGTCATTTGACATGTTTAGACTTAATCTCAGTCAAACTCTTGTGCTAGTGTGTCAAGAAGTTTCCAAAGCAGGGCACAAAACGCACATACTTGCTTTATTGTGTACTATCAAAGGCTGCAAAATGCTTACAAAAGGAGATAATGCTACAAAGTCTATGTTAATCTTTGTTAGTATTTTTTATGCTTTATTTGAACAAATATGATCAGAAAAAACATGGTATTTTTTTCAATATATTTGCTGCAATAGGAGAGACGAAATTATTTATGCTTATGCCTTTATTTATTAAGTTCCAATATTTCACTTACTGACACAGTCAGGTTCCCCCATGGCACATCAGATGCAGATATATTGTAGTCCTGCCAGTATCGTAAGGTTTTATTGCTAGGATGTTCTGGTTCCACACAACTGCAACTGAAAAGACAAAATAGTATTTTTTTCTGTAATAATAAAAGATGTATCACATATTAATCCAAATTATCAACTTTATGACATATTGAAATTGTGCCCTACTTTGCCAGATAATTTTAGTTCAAATGATAATTTTAGTCCAGCACCAAAGGCTCTGTGAACTTTTGTGTCCATTGTTTTTTCTTTCCCCACAGCTGCTTTAAAAGCATGCTTTTCATTTTAAATTGTGTATTTTAACATACAAAACGTGACGAGGCAGCGTGGGAGGACAATACTGCAAATAGGTAATTTAAAATCAAAATTAAGTCTTTAAAGCCTCTGAAGCAACTGTGGGAGGCTTTTTCTTTGACAAAGCCTTCAAAATATGTAGGATACCCTGTAGGTTCCAAGATGTCAAGTGTGCTTTGCAGTTCTCTTTAAATTAATTCAACTTTAAAAATCTATAGTACTATCTATCCTGCTAGTGTTTTAACGTGCTTATGATGGCTGTAAATAAATTCTGTACTCACCCTTCTGCTAAAGTTTTCAGGAGTAGCTGGGGACACGATAACATCTGACTATAGAGTGGAGAGCCATTAAGCATACATTTGCATTCCAGTTCTATATCAGTTTACTCACTTAGCTACGCCATCTATTTTCTCTGTGGCTGTTTATCTTTCCACAAAATGACAATTCTCATCTAGATTTGTAATATTTTCTGTATAAGAAATTCTACCATCTACATTATGAGTACAGAATAGTGCCACAGTATTTCAATTAGAATACTCTACGTGTGACAACAGCTGCATTTAATATATACATAGAGAGAGATGCAGGCTGTCTTTGTGCAACTCCTTGCTTTTATTTTAAATGCAGCTATTTAGAAAAGAAAGAAAAAAAACCTTACAGCCCATGAACAAAAAGCAAAAAAAAAAAAGCAACAGCATTCAGAGAAATAGAGGGCCTGAGCCAAAAGTCATTGAAGTAGACTGGATCTTTCAAACATATTTAAAATGCTTTGGATCAGGCCCCAAGTGCAGAATGAATGTGTGTTCAATGCAGTTTAAAATATTACAAAATGGGTTAAATGAAGCACATCAACTACTAGTGAGCTACGGTAGCATAATAAAGTCAACAAACAGTATGTCTATGTTATCATAAGGGAGTATTTGATGTTCATGCAACAATACAGAGGTGGCTATTTCAGGTTACTACTGTTTCCTGTGAGCACAGGAGCTCCCTGCACCCTGATGTCCATCGCTGATTGCAGACTGGCCAGACGCTGGGCGATGGCCCATTGGGGTTTGATTACAGTAGGCCAAGGTAACGTGGGCTGTTCAATCACAGTCACTTTCTCACTAGAAGGGAAGACTGTGCATGTCACCAACACTACATGGTAGAGCTACACTTGCTGCAAACTGCAAAATTACATTTAAAAGTTAGAGAAGCCAAAATTTCTATTTCCTTAGTCAGAAACGTGACAATTGAAGCTATAGTTTAATACAGCTCAAGTAATTCACCTTCAGATGAGATCATCGCCCTGTTTATTTCTATATCAATACCACTTTCCTCCTTCACAGCATTCCAGCCTGGCCTTTACCAAGTTTCACAGGCATTTACCAACAGCAGATTGTTTATCAGCAAGTAAGTGACTTGTGCAAGCTCCACCCATGCAGACCAAAATCACCCTGCACCAAGCTTTTGTCACTGAATGGGTGCAGAATTTGGCCCTAATTGTAAAGATCAGATCCTGCTTTCTACTGAGATGATCATTCAAACAATGACCTCAGTGTTTTGACATATATAACATTACATTGTTTTCAGTATTATATGCCTTTTGGCAACACTGACATTTTGATGTGAGATTGTATCATGGCATAACTGTCTTCCAGCATCACACTAATTGCTTAACATTATAGAAATGTGAGATAGTAAGACACTGCCTGTCCAGCGCAGAAAACACAATTGGAGGTACCATTCAGCCCCAGAACATAAAAGATTATCTACCAAAATGTGACATTTCATAACAGATATAATTGCTTCAATGATGACTATTTCCCAACACAACTGACCTGCAAGGAGAAACTCACATTAGTGAAATAAGGCTTTCTACTTTAATCTTTTGAAACTTTTAGTCTCTTTCATTGCCATTTTTTACTCTGAGAGGTCAGCTCTCAGAAGAAAAAGTAAAATACACCGAATTATTAACCACTAACACATCTTTCTATTTTCTTGATAAAATATTACTCAGAAGGCTGGAATAAGTAAAAATGTATTGCCTCTTGGAGGTTCAAATGCTCTTAAGTTCTTGTAAAGTTGTTTGAAGTGCTGAGCACTTGCCCACTACAAGAGATCTATGTGGAGTTTATGCTATTACCAATGAGCAAGAGACTATACATATACCTACAAGTATATCTTCTAAGCAACATTCAGCTCCAAATACAGTACCAACTTAGCAACGTACTCCCATGCCTTTTAGTGATAAGAAGTCAGCAATCATCTTCGTTATGCTAAAAGATACAGAATGATTCATTTTATTCTCTTTCATCATGGCTAGGAGGAAACTGCTTTTTTCATGGCTAGAACATAGGCAGGGAAGTATCTGACATTGGTTGTGGTAGCAAAAGCATAGGTGTCACTATAGTGGGGAAAAAAAAAAATCTCTGCTGCCAATCTCACAATACACCCATTTCATCACACTGATGACAGAACAATTCTTTTTGCGTCTTTACACTTTTGGCTACTGCAAGACGTTCTCATCTCCTAGGAGCAATTCAGATGTCTAAACATGGGTGCCTGTATACCCCATAGTATTTGTGACATCCATGATGGGTTGGCACATATGTGACAGGGTCTATGGTGACTCATGCCTTTGTTTTCACAGCAGGTGGAGGCTAAGAGATCTAAAATGGCACTAGATACCCAGTCACAGGTCACTCCCTTCTATAAAATGTCCGTATTTTGCAACTAAGCAGAAATCAGTGGAGCTTGCTTTCTTCTAGAGTATTTAAACATCTAATACAGCCTATTACAGCCAATTACAAAGTGGCTTATAAATCTGAGGTAGACTAATACATCATTTCAGACATGACAGTCTTCAGGAAACTGCAGGAGAACTGTCATAAGATCAGAACTGACAAAAGGAGAAAGTAACAGAAAAATAATGGCCTGAACCTGCTCTCTAGAAAAATAACCAGAGCAAGGAGTCTTTATTGCCTTTACATCTTCCAAGGTGCTCAAGAAATCTCTGGCAAATCAGGATGAGGAACAAAGGTAGATTAGAAATAATATATTTTAGGACTGGCTGACAAACTGGTGTCCTCTGGAGCCAGTACCTCTCTCCCTTTTACAGGAGGATCAAGACTTCAGATAAACCTTCAGCACCAATCCAATTGTAACAGTATAGGTCACTGATGGCACCCCCCTTCCCTTCTTTGTCCTCCCAGCCTCCCCACATTTTTCCTAGCTCTTTTTGCTTTTGTTTCATAAGTCTCAATTTCATAAATTTCATTAACTTGAGGCAGCCATCATAACTTCATTGTGTGCACCATTTCCTACAACTTGCCCTGTTTTAAAAGAACAGAGCTAGGATTTGACAACAGCAGCTTCTTGCTCCTTTGAAAGCCTCATGGCCATTCACCCCTAGGCAGTTGCCATTTTTAAGCATGTTGTTTTCAAAACTAGGAGGCACTTACTATTAATGATTTTATCTGATTCATAAGGCACTGTTTTGGAGCTCCTATTTTTCCAGCACGTACATATTGCAAGCTACACCTATTTATTCTAGTTAAGGATCTGATCTATAAAAGATGCAACTGCAGCTTCTTCATGATTAGCCAACATACCATTTCCCCTTCCTAGAAGGGCAAAACCTCTTTCTGGCTCACTTAAGATAGAGAATGAGATTTGCTCAATAGGACTATTTATATTATTAAAAAACAACATGCAAGTATGACAAAGAAGTTACGAAACGTACTTGTTTAAACAATATGTCTCACTGAATATCAGAGCACATATTTGGTAATATGAGTAGGAAGTTTTTCCCCTAAGACACACAGTATGCTCTACGAGTGTGCTGTGCACTGATGACATAACAGAGACAGAATAAGATGATGGTATGAAATGGGAGGTAACATCACTAATTTTGTTTTAAAAGTAAGGTATTAGAATATATGCACATGTATTCTTCATGCTACATTTACAAGATTGAAGAAAAGTACATCAATAGCAGAATGCTATGCATGTTTAGGTTGCCTCCAAATACGCCATTTTCATGTGAATTACGGGCACTCGCAGAGTCCTTCTGTTTGTCTAACAACTGCTATGGGAAGGGGACAACAATATCACAGATGACAACTTCTCTGCTGTCCCATACCTACAACACCTGTGTATTCCTGACATTATATTTACCCTATTCCTTCTCATGTCAACATTCATAAAGACAAAATCAAAGTCTCAGTGGAGAAGAGACTGGAAACAAAATAATTAATACTGATGGGAAATGGACTTGTCTGTTAAGTTCTATTCTCAGTATCATGAAACCCTTTACAAGCACAGCTGTCATGGCAAGACAAGATTTTTTCTTCATTTATTCATGAGATCTGCCATCCTGAATTAGACCATTGAGTCATTAAGTTAAGTAGTCCATCTCTGACAATCACGAACATCAGTAGGCATCCACATATATTCTCTAAAGTTAGAAGTCTATATAGTTTAGTTGGTGAAGTTGAGGAGGAAAACAGAAAAGCCTATAAAAGTACCTAGACAATGCACTCAGCAGCACAATTTCACACACACATTGATAGAGATAAATCTGAGGGGAGGGAACTGATGTTAGAGTGAAGAAATCTCAAAGAATCAGGTTTCTTTGGATAGCACATGAGGAGAAGAACGTTGCTCTGTCAAGTGGTAAGACTAGAAAACAGATTTATAATCACATTGTAGTTTTGTTAACCTTGTCTGTCACTCATAAAGGTTGGTCTTTATGAAGTTAATGTGCAGAAAAGTAGTGTAATTATGTGGGA